CATTTCATCCTAATTTTTTAAATACACCTTCCAAATGTTGCTATTCCTGAAACAAAAAGTAATGCCATGTTCAGATCATTGTAGGCCTATGTATAGATTTGAAGTTTGTTTCTTTGTTTTCAGTTGCTGCTATTTCTAGGGGCGTGGTGGCTGAGTGGTAAATCTTTTGATTTCCCAACCGAGGGAAGCCGGGATTTTGAATTTCAGGATTTTTAGGATGCCCATATTTGGTACCTTACTAGTTGGTGAAAGCAAAGGCAGTTTGTGCATTGTGCTGGCCACATGACACCCTCATTAACTGTCAGCCATTAAAATAGATGACCTTACATCATCTGCCCTAAAGATCACCAGGTCTGAAAGGGTTAATTTTCTGTTATTTCTAATCCCTATTATTTCTATGTAATCTTTTATTTAATAAAAAAACTTAAAAACAAAATCAGATAATGACATTTGAAATCGCATTTCTAAAGAGCCTTTTTTTTACTTCATCTATAGTATTGCTTGGTCTTTGCTTAAACCTAATATTTGTAAGTTGATGTACTCCAATAGTTGAGAGGCTTCTGTTGTTTGATATACATAGGAGTTCAATATATTTACATATGTGTATCTTCACTCATTACCTAACATTTGATACTTTTTAGGCCCTAAAGCATTGTGGATATGTATGTGCAATCGAACTGACAAAACGAAATAATAAAAACAATTTATTGTCTTTAGAAACAATGACACATGCAGAAAAGAAACATTTGTTTGAAATGAATGTAGCCAAATTTAAAGTCAATCCTATTCTCTCTATTCTGTCCATCCTTATTACCTTTAAACCTCACGTTTGGTTCCAAGTCTCACCATTGTTTCCAGTTCTAGGCAAATACAAACAATTTATTATTCTTTCTTTCAGTTGAAATCTGTTGCTCATTTACCTTGGAAAGCTTTTATGTATAAGGTATATTATATTTGTCTGGATATTTTTAGTGTATTTTTTAAATAACATTTATTACTATTTCTTACATACATTTTTTAATTGATTTAGTGTTTATTTATGTAGCATATTGTTTGATGTGTTTATTATTGTTTGATATTTTCAAGGCCTTCAATACATTCATAGATGATGTATTTGCTTTTATCATCACCATGCCAACAGCTCATAGGTTGGCATGTTTTAGAGATGACTTAGTTTTTGTTCTTTATCTGTACCAGAGGTGGTAAGTTGGCACTTATTAATTGTAATTTTATTTGCTAGTAAACTGCATTTAATTGTAGACATATTCCTTAAAAAGATAAATATTTATTTAAGGTAGTTGAAAAAATCTTAATGTTCTCTTTTTTTTCTCCTTTTTTTTTTTTTTTTTTAGCGGAGCCGCAAGTGGAATAGATGCTATTAGTTTGTGTGGTCTGTCTGTCCATCTAGCTGTCTGTCCCATTTAGATCTCAAACTAGAAAAGCTATTGAAAATCCGACATTGTGATATTTTAGATCATTTCAAAGTTCTGATGCAACGGCTACTTTTTTCATTTTTCAAAGTGAAAAATTTAATTTTTAAAATCAACTATGCAAGCAGTTTTTTTTTCATAAAAATTCACCATTTACAACTTTTCACTATTAATATTAAAAAACAGGGAGACTATGAAGTAAGGGAGGTGACTTCTTACCATATGTTTAAGTTATTTATGTAAACGATTTTAGTTTTTGTCGAAAATATTTTTCTTAAATTCTATTACTAAATTTGTAATACTAACTACCTACATTTAGAAAAAAAAAAAGTTTAGTTGTTTTTTTAAAAGAAAAAATCTATTTAGTATGCATATAAATGGAAAATAATTTAAAACAATTAATAAGTAGTGTTTTATATTATACACATGCACTGCAATGATACAGTTACAGTTTCCAGCACTTAGCTAAAGAGAAAACATGATTAAAATTTTCTGATATTGTTTTTAAATAAATATTTTCCCATATGATGATGAACTGCAACTGCCCATGATTGTCCACTCTCCAAATAGCCTGTTATGTTTTTATTTTCTTCTGCCTGTTTTTTTTTTGTAAATTAAGTTGCAAATACATTGGCAGTAAACCAAAAAGCAAGTAGATTTTTTTAAAACACATAAAAGCAATGTGAATGAGGCTAAATTTTGGAAAGCGTGTCTGTTGGATATAAAATATTGTTTGCAATATTAATAGGATAAATTTATACAAAAGATTGGTCATTAACCAGCAACACTGACACTTATAAAAGTTAAAACAGGACATTTCCTAAGCATTTATTTTAGCCTTTTTTTTATTATTGTAACAAAATCTTGTTTTTCAGGCTGTATCCTGTAGATAAAAGTCGAACCAATGAGTATGGCATGTCCTTTACAACAGAGGAGACTAACGAAAAAAAGAAAACTCAATAAATTGAAGAGCTTCCATCTGATTCCTTGCTGCACTTGACTTTCCTCAGCAACTGAATTGATGAAATGTTAATACTATTACTAACATAAAAACTGTTAAATCCAAAATTGATTATCAAATATCATAAAATATCAATTCTATGTAAAAAGAAAAAAAAATTTTGAATGTGTATTTTATGGTGTATGAATGTCAGAACACAAGTTACCTGCCTTGTATTATGTAACCTAGACCTTCAGATTTTACTGTACAACTTCCTTGACCTTTGTATAAATATCATGGTTGTATATTTTTGTTGCTCAAAGATAAAACCATAATACAAAAAAAAATGGTGGTAAATTCCAATTTTTTTATTTTGAAAATGTTTGTAAGCTATCACAGATGTTTCACTAAATTTGTGTCAAATCTGATGGATTTCTTCTCAGGTTAGACTTTTGAAAAATAAAAATGTGTGTTGTCACTACTAGTGTACACTTGTTTTTTTTCTGACATTTTGGTTCATTCAGGCTTTTATTGTCATTGCATATTGTATTTTATGTCATTGACTTGAATTTTTTTTTTCATGAAAATATTTTATGAAGCATAATACGCAATAAATTTATGAGGGCACTGCAGCATGTATTAAAATGCTAAATTGCTATATTTTTAAACATGTCAAATTTCTTTAATGATTTACTAATGATTGAATATGCCAATAATCTCTTTTGTCATGATTTTTTTTTTTTACTTTTTATTAAAAATTAAAAAGAATGAAAACTGCAGTCAAACTACATTATTATATGGTAGTATGAATCTTAAATTTATTTCACTGAGTTCAATGTTAAATGATTTTCAATTTGGCTCATTCAAACACTTATTCATTTCAATTAAATTTGTTTTTCTTGTCTCCCTTTTTAAAATAGAAGCACTTAATGCATTGCTACAAAGTAACCTCCCAGATTGTATAATATAAAAAAGAAAAGAATTAGAAGTAGCATTTACCTCTTTTTTGTATAGATTACCCTTATTTGTCATACAACATAAGAATTACTTGATATTGAATCCCCTTGAAGATCTGAAGTCTTGAGAAGTGTTATTTCAAAAGGAAAAGGCTATGACCTAGCCAGGTAGCTTAACAAAATAATTGTTTGCTTTGGTTCAACGTTGAGGCCATCACAAGGACCAAACATTCCTTAACTCTAGTCAAGTTTATGTTAGAGCTGAACAATACAATTTGTCTTAACCAGGACTGGAACATTAGAAAGTGATATAACTGGTCAATGTTAATGTCTGTATAAACATTGGTTTATCTTTTCTAGTTGACCTGCTTACTGTTGGACATTGAATGAATTGAGTCCATTGCATAGGCAAATTTTGGGATTAAAAACCACCCCTCCAGAGGATTTTTTAGGTTAATTGCAGACCTGTTCATTCAATACAGTCATTGAGGTTCAACACTACCCCAAATTAAGCATTTCACTCATTGATTTGTTTTTCTACTGGTCGCTGGGTTCCATTAATTAATTGCAGTGAATAGCAGATTTGATAATTGACCTACAGTTTTTTAATAGAAGATTAGGAGGATAATTTACTGTAGACACCTCAGAATATGCATTTTTTAAAATTTCAAATACAGGAAATAAAGCTTGGTGCTTAGGCTCTGCTTTAGACCCCGCTGGGGTGGCGGTCACCTAGACCCATTAGCTGGCAAGGGAGAGGTGTCTACTGTTTAGATGTAATGAAGTTTAATTACGTATATTTATTTATATATATGCATGTGTGTGTTTAAAGGAGAAAAAAATTACCCACCACCCACAAAAAAACTCATGGCTACACCCATAATAAAAGTTAATAATATAAAGACCTTTTATTAGTAATTGCATTAAATAATAAATTATATTTGTATACTCATAAGAGGGGAATGTTTCAGGACAAGTCTGAAATGATGAAGTCTGTTCATCTTTATCACACATCTATCCACTGAGTCCTTTCTTCTCTTTGAACCACACCTCAATGTGAATGTTTTATTAAACAAATATGGGAGAATATAAAGACATTTCTTTGATCATTTGTTTGAGCTTTTTTTTAACATAACAAAATAGTTGTAATGAACTTGTGCTCAAACATTCTTTTTTCATTTTATTATCTTGCAATTATTTATTCATTATTTATTCATTGGCTTGACTCATTTTTTTCTTTTTTGGTTAAAGAAAATTTTAAAATATTTTTTCTATTGAAAAGCTACATTTTTTTCATTTGTATGTTAAATAAGAAATTATTGATTAAATTGATCAAGATGAATTAATAATTGTTGTTTTTATTTTGTTAGGACCAGATTACTATTGAATGTTGTTTTTTTTTAATTGTGATCAAGTAGCCTCCAATAATACTGTCTGACTTGTACAAACATTATACAACTTAAGTTTAATTTTACCCCTATATGTATGCTAGTGTATTTTGTTCTCAGTTATGTGTTCCTTATGGATTTATTTTTTTGTGATTTCTACATCTCTTTGTAGCTAGTTATGATACTAGTCATCCTTTGTGACTGACTTATAAAGAATGTATGGAAATATGGTACAGATTTTACTGTCTAAATTCCATTAGTATTATAGCACAATTTAAAACAAGGCATTCTTGTTTTTATCATTTTATTTGAGATAGTATAGAATTTACATTTAAAGAAACTATTCAATCATAGCACAGTATGCTTTGAAGAAAACATTATGCTCCTAAGTACTGGGTGGAACTAATCACATGAATCACTCACTTGTAGCAAGCATCAAATCATTAGACACAATGAATATAAGGCAACAATAAATCATGTTTGACAAAAGTCAAAACAGAAGTGCATCCTTCTAATAAAAACATTAAATGAACAAAAAGTTCAGTTCAACTAGAAAAATGAAATGTCATTTTTCAAGAAGTTAAAAAAAATCAGATCTATTAATAGAATTATTTGATTAGTTCTGTTTTAAAAATAACATTTCATTAGCATAAATAAAAGCCATTTGTATTGAGATAGGAGATGGACTAACTATTATCTCAGATATAAATTTAGAAGTGTGTACCAAATTTGAATCTTTCACTAAGATATTCAAACAGGGAAAAAGCATGTTTCTAATTTAAATTTATCCGGTTGGCCAAAAACAAACCTGGTATTTTAAAAGCAATAACTACATTTTATCACAAGTCATAGGGTGGAAACATAAAAACTGAGTAAACCTGAAGGAAACAATTGTTTTTTTTTTAAATGTTTGAATGACTTCAACAGGACCTCAACAACACACTGTAAGACCATAAGTTATGTATTTCAGATAGTTGTCTGAATGAAAATGTTCAAAATAAAAAAAGTAAATAAATAGTAAAAAAAAATACACAGTAATTAAATGAAAAAAAGAAATCTTAAGAAAATTAAAAATGAAACTAAATATAAAAACATTTCAAAATATTAATATTCTTCAAAATATCAAAAATGTTAATAGATTATATTAATTGTGGTCAGAAATATTCTATCACTATAGAAGATTTACTCTAACTGATAAAGATAGTTATTCTACACTATAATAGACTGACATTGGGTTATGTCAAGACAATAATTTCCCCCCAAATTTTTTAAATGGTAAAATCATTTAATTGCTTAAATGTTATTTGATTTTTCTTTTATTTAATTAACTTAAACCGAAAAAAAAAAAGAAAGATAAATAGTAGTTTTTTTTAATGCATAAAAAAAAATCAAACTATATATATATATATATATATATATAGAGAGAGAGAGAGAGATAGATATATTAATTTAACACATATAAATAAAGACTTGGTTATGAAAATATCAATAAAAACTGAAAACTTAACATTGTTTTTTTTTAACTAGCTAGAAATTACTTTTCAGACTACCCTAGCAAACTGTTGGCCAATACTAGTCAAGTTTAGCAAGTTCTGAAAGTGCAGTAAATAGAAGATCCAACCAAGAAACACAGATCTCATTTCTTTTCATTGTATTTCACTAAAGTGAAACATATGACAAACAATAGAAATTTTTCAGTGTTTATTTTCATAAGTCTAATGTCTGCTTTCAAATAAAAGTGGAATGATTAATTTGTATGCTCATGAAAAATGACACTATGTGATTTAAAAACAAGACAACCTTAAGTACTACAGATCCAAAATTTCACAACATTAGTTAAACCAAATCAGAATCAGTACTTCATTAACAGTTAGATGTATCTGGGTATATGTTGCGCTAAACGTGGAGTACATACATATTAAGTTTATTTCAAAATGACATGGCTCTGTGTATTGAAACTGCACCACACATATCACAAGGTTGAACAGTCATTGACAGAGAGAATAGGATCATTGTTCACCTGGTCACAAGATATTAATAGATAACAGCTATACATTTAGTAGGTGCAGGGAATCTTTAGATGAATGAATATAATATGAAAGCCATCCAAGGTTTAGATCAACAAGTTTTATTTGCACAACAGTGAAGTTGTGATGGTTTTAAAACTTGGGCTAAAATACATTTTTAAAAAGGCTCACACGGATGCCAGCAAGTTCTGAAAAAACATGGACATAGATTTTTCATGAATTAATCAGGATCTGAAATGTTATATTACAATTCATTGTGATGTATAATAGACAAGTATTACAAAGTATACAATTATTTATTGCTTTCTTTGTAGGGCTGAGAATAGACAACCCTATGAAAGCAAATGAATATCAATGAAACCAATGTAGAAAGACATAACAAAAATTGTCTGGCACTTTTCTGGCAGCAGAGTTGACTTGCATAATTTAATGCAAAAGCAAAAATAAAAAAAAAACAGGATTGCAACATAGGATTTGTTAGCAAGAAAATATTAAATGAATTAATTTGATTAACAAATATTTGAAGAGAAAAAAACAACAACATTTTTTAAAGTACTACTAAGAATGAACTGACATTCTTAAATATTTAAAAGGATTTCCATCACTCTTTAAGCAGCATAGTCATTTGTTTGGTTTGCAACTGTCCACAAGATGCAATGTTCTCACTTGTTGGTAGGTCAAGATGACTGCCTCCTATTTCTCATTCCAGTTGTCTCCCCCTACAATGCATACTATTTTACTATTTTGTTACAGATATGAAGAGACTTGAACTTTCACTGGAGTTATAGAGCAATATGATGAACTTTCACTGGAGTTATAGAGCAATATGATGAATTTTCACTGGAGTTATAGCAATAGGATGGACAATTTTTAGTTGTGTACATCTTATGAAAAGTTGAACAAACATTGCATGAAGAGCCAAAGGAAACTTTGGACTATTACAAAAGTCACAGTTAGTTAGTTAGTAAAAATGTTCAGAAAATTTCTGAATTTGATTGAACAAAAATTTAAATGCAGCTACATTGAACAGTAAGTAAACAACAAGTAAAACAAAAAAAAGTTTTCCATTGGATCATTGCAATAGAACCAGCTAGTTACATAGCAGGCCATGTAGCCATGTACACATCAAGCTGTGAACACAATGTAGACATGACACTTAGCTCTGAAGTATCCAAAGTGTAGTTCAACTAGACCATTATTTCATCATTATTGTTTTCACTCTCCCTCTTGTGAAGATCATCATTTTGTTCTGAGTAAGAGGAAAAAATGTGTAAGTAAAATTTAATAAATAAGTGTTGAAATTATTTCTGTTGGACATATTCAAATAGGAGGGGTTGCTTCTTTGTTTGTTTGTTTGAAGATTATTCATTATCAGTTTCTATCTTTAAATTAACTCTTTCAACTCATTTCTTTTTAGCTCTTTGTCTCTGAAACTATGTTCTCGTTGATTTGAAGATTTTCAAATGGAACATTTGATTTTTTTTTCTTTCCTTTATCTTTTTAATCTTGTATTTCTACTAAATTTAATCTTTATCCTTGTGTTGACTATGCAATTTTTTTTTCTTTGGCCTTTAACTGAGAACAAAGTACTGAAAGCAATTACTTTGATATTTTTTTAATCATGCTTTTTATTCATTGACATGACATGTGATAATGAGCTCCAGTTTTCCATTTGTGTAAAAATCACAATAAAATAATGTTTTTTTTCCTTTTGCATCTAATTTACATCTATGAGACTTGAAAATGTATTTAGTCAGTCAATTTTTATTTCAAAATACAAAAGTAAATGTTACATTTTTTTGGGTAATAGTATATATTATACTGTCCATGCCTGATCTGGTTCTTTCTGTGGTCTTAGATTTAAGGCTAAGGTTATAGGTTTAGGGTTTGATTTATGGTTAGGATTACCCTAAACCTATCACTAAACCTATCTCTAATCATAAACCTAACCCTAAACTTATCAATAAACCTTAACCTATTCATAAATCTAACACTAAATCTAATCCTAAACCTAGCACTTAACCTTAACCAAACCCTGAATCTAATTCTAACCCTAACCCTATAATTTGTAACACTAAAACTAAGCCTAAACCTATCCCTATCCCTAACTCTACACCTTACAGTTTGATCCTACCAAACCTAACCCTAAACTATAGTGCTTAAGCAAATATAAAAAAAATAAAATAAAATTAAAATAATATATAGTTCAGTGAATTTTTGTTCTTTACTTCCTCTCCAGAACATCACAAACACTTTGGTGTTGTTTCTATTACAGCAATGATAATAAGAGTCCATAGAAAGTATTTTTTTTTTTTTGGCTTTATAATAATTTGCAATGGTAGAGCTATTGGGTGTAGGTTTATGAGCCTATTGGCTACATTAAGACCACAGAACAAACCAGATCAGGTGTGGGTGGTATAATATATACTATTACCGTTTTATGTTTTAGACGAAAAAATGCATGAAATTCTACATAGCCTACCAAATATGTTTTCTGATAACAAACAAATAAATGTTTCATCTTAATATGGGTATACTCCCTTGAAACATGGAAAATAATTCTGAAGAGCAAGGGTTAAAATGTAAGCTATTATACAATATTCTTCTTAACCAAGTATTGGTGTTTTGTTTATCATACACATTTTAAAAAAAGGGAGAGAGAGAGATAGGTAAGCACTCTGTTTTCTTTAAACAAAAATACCCAATAAAGCATTTCCAACTGTTATTTCAAACAAGAACATGGGTGGTATGTAAACTATCAACAGTAAAGTGTTACATAACATTGGCTATTCTTTTTTCATTCACATAATTAATGCAGTTGTAAGTAAGTATTAATGAAAAGAAAGGACACATGCATTTTCTTATTATGTTTAATTAAGTAAATTGAGGGAATTAAAAAAAACACGAAAATGAATTAGAAAATCTACAAGGCAATGAATGCTCTATTTTGAATATATAGATGACTACATATATAGATAAGGTAGACCAATATAAACAAAGTAGTCAAAAAACATTCACTTTTTGTTTCATAAATGTGAAGCATTTAGGATATTTCTGGATTAAAGATTAAATATGGGCCTGCTATTTTGTACATTTCACACACAAATTAAGTTTGGCTTTAGAACAATGAAGTCAACTTTATCAAGGAAAACAACCTAGAAATGCTGGATTAAACTTCATTAGATTCGGAAAGTCTTACCTTAAAGTCTGGAATAACAAGATATAAAAAAATTGTTTAATTTTTTAATAGCTGTGCAAAGTCAAGCTTTATCATCAGCATCACTTAATCTATGTATGGTGTTTCATTTAATTTAAAAATTGTTAAAAGATTAATATTATCCTGCAAACCTGCCAAACAGACTTCCATTAAATGTACATTAAGCATTTTATGTTTTATTCAGAATGGCGCAGGCTAATCTTTCATGTAATAATCAGTAATACTAATAATAAACTAAAGACCATAATAAATGAATTGGAATGAAATTTAAACATTGACATTTAGATTGTCTAGTTGTTCCCTTTATTAAGTGAACAAACTCTAGATAAATTAAAATATCTTAATCTTAAATAGTTAAAATAAAAATGGTCATTTTCATAAAAGAAAAACAAATTTAAACAAGCAAAAAAAATAAAAAATTCCCAGTATGTATAAAAAAAATTAAGCATTTGAACAGCTACTTTTGTAGCAAGCACTCTTCAAGAGCTAGTGTCTAGCTTGAGACTTTTTCCAATGTTCTTTTATGTTTGTTTTTCCTCATTTGTCAACACCAGGAATCAAACCTCTTAGTGGAGATAAACTAAATAATTAATAGTAGTCAACTGTTCTAATGTAGATCAGGTTAGAAGACATACCTTCAGATGTTAGACTATCTTTAGTACAAGCTACAAGTGAGGACTGGCTAGGACTGGTACTGTGTGATAACTGGCTAGAACTATCTCTATTCTCCATTGCCTGACTTATTCTTTTGATTTTCTCCTTTACAGGCAATCTGAGTGTAGCTGAGTCATAGACTATACCTTCATTTGGGGTAGAGATGACTGGACTTTTCTCTAGTTCACTTACATCTAGGTATTGACAAACAGCAGTACAGTGAAGGTTAAAATCAAGAACTAAAACATTCCGACCCAGTGAAGGTAATATGTTATGAAACCAATGAAAACAATATCTCCCCAACACAAAACAGATCTAGATAACATGCTTCACTTTGGAGGATTTTAAAACTAAACTTAAAGCTATGAATCTTAAAATGAAAACAAAATGTTCAAATGTAGAATGAAAATAAATATAAATTTTAAAAACCCAAATTAAAACACATTGATCATACCAATCCTAGTGTACATACAATTAGAAAAGAAATAAAAGCTAGAGACATTTACATTTTCAACACT